GCGCCCACGATGAAGCCGATGGCGATGGGCGCAATGGTGCCCAGGCTACCCTTCTTGGGGTCCACCGCCGTCGCGTACACGGTGTACACGAGGCCGAAGGTCATGACGATCTCCAGCACGAGCGCCTCCCACACGCTGACGCCGGAGAGAGCGAAGCTGCCCGTGGACAGGCCGCCGGTGGAGTAGCGGAGCAGGAGGCACGCGACGGTGGAGCCGAGGAGCTGTGCGATCCAGTATATGATGCTGCGGAGGAGGGTGATGTTGCCGCCGATGAAGACGCCGAAGGTTACGGCCGGATTCACGTGGCCACCAGAGATGTTGGCGCCCACGGACACGGCCACGAATAGGGCGAAGGCGTGCGCTAGGGCTGCCGCTATGAGGCCGGCCGGAGTGGTGGCTGCGCCGCCCGTCAGCTTGCCTGCGGCAGCACGGAAAACAAGCAAACGACTGCATGAGATCCCACGAAAACCCAGCATTGCATGGTGATGATGAACAAGCGCGAACAGGGGACGTACTAAAGGCCATGCCGGAGCCTTGGCCAGCGAAAACGAAGATGAGGGTGGAGATGAACTCGGCGAGGGCGGCCTTGAGCGTGCCCGGGTGAGTCGCCTCCTCCTGAGTTCCAACGGCGATTCGAGGGATCGGCATCTTCTTCGTCTTTCTCTTCCAATCCGAATGCGACTCTTCCGCTGCAACAATAGCAATGGACTAATAAAGAGCTCCACCAGCTCCCATTGTATACTGAGAGAGCGACCGGGAGTAGCCGGTACCCGGTCGAACCGGGCGCCGGAAAAAACAAAAAAACACACATCTCACCGTTCATGGCGTACCCGTGTGGCCCACCTACCCTTTGATCAAGCGGAGACAAGGAAAAAAGCGGGACCCACTCAGGACCTATTTGTCAGAGAGCGGAAGGTGACCAGCTGGGTTGCGAAAGGATACGACAAAATTACTCACAGGGGAATGGACTATGGGATCTGGTACAGGCTCACTTGTAGATTGTGAATGGTACAGCTCATCACGATGGTTCAGAAAACATCATATCATATTTGAAATGATGCAACGGCGGTGTGGCCCACCTAAATCAAAATGAGCCATTGCCTTAAAAAGTGTACCGCTGTTTGAGGTTTCACAGATGATTAGTGTCTGTTTACACTGGATTAAACAAAATATGTCCTGGAATTAACTTAAGACCCAATCAGATTCTAATAAGAAATGCATTCGAGTAAGCAAACTTTATCCACTTGTTCATCAATTACATGTCTAAATGCTCCAGTGGGACTTGATTTTTGATGCCAATCTCCATCATTTATAATTTTGTAATTAATGGGAGCACATTTCATATATAATAAGCATCAAAACGTTAATTAGACTAAAAGGAAAAAGAAATTATATGAACAAAGAAAATTTTAATTTCTGAGAGAATATTGCATAATAATGCTTAGAGAGACTAAAATTTTGCCTATGGAGTGTGTCAAGTTTGGATTTGTTCTTCTTAATTACGACATTATACCTAACATTTCTCTCATATCATGTACATGCGTATTCAACTGCAATCATTGCAATAGACAAAACCAGAGAAGTTGGTCCAAGTAAAAGGAGGCAAAAAAGCTCAACGCAAAGGTCATCTTAGATGAAGACAGACAGTATGATTCAAGACCAACTGTAATTACAGAAATAATTCCTTCGATCACTGATCACAACTCGAGCTAACAAAACTATGAGCGGCCCCAAAGCAAACCAAGCTACCAAAACTGATACCAGTACTCCAATAAATACTGCAGGAGAGCTCCCAAGAAGAGCACTTGTTAGGCCAATAATTCAGAGCACTCGATAGGCCAGACAGAACTCCACATGCAGGTCTTATAAAGTACGGTGAGGTCAACGAAGTTTATAGCATACTCGTTTATCACCACAACCACTTGTCAATCACTGTTCCTATTGACAGTATACACTTTTAGACTTTGGAGATGGGAGTGTGCTTCTCCCGAGTCGCTTTAAGTTCTTAGCACCATTCTTGTGCTTGCAGAGCCCACGTGAAGCCATAGCCCACTCGTGTTGTTCTCTCTCAGCCACTGTGATACAATTGAACGTGGTCCCACTGGCGTTCCCGTGGTTCACGGGTACGTACCACAGTGCGTACGAGGACACCGGACGCTGGACGCATTGGTCTTCTTTTTATTTGGCTTTATTTTGTTGGGGGATTTTCTTAAAAAATATCTATATTTTAAATACTTTTCAAAAATATCCCTCTTTTACTTTTTTAAAATAATATTTTAATTAAAAAATATCTAAAATACCTCTCAAATTTTTTTTGCCAAAATTTTTCGCTCGTTTTTCTTATCAATTTTTATAGTATTTTTCAATGATATTTATAGTGTTCTATTGATATATTAAAAATACTGTAAATATTATTCAAAAAATGGTAAGTGATATTATATCGTGTTTCTTAATTTATCATTATGATATTATATTTTTAGACTTATGGTTAGTTTGGTTGAGATTGGAAATCTATTTAGATTATTTATAATATTTTTAAATAGATTTTATAATATTTTTATTATGGTGGTTAAAATACTATAAGAGATCAAAACACTGTAATAAGTGACAAATTTTTTTAAAAAATAAAATTTAAGTATTTTAAAATTAAAAAAAATATAATATTATTTAAAAAAATAAAATGAAGATACCGTTTGAAAAATACTAAATAGTTTGAACAAAATCACCCATTTATTTCAATAGAATTTGGCTTCCAGTTTTATCATAAGCTGCTGTCTCTTTTGGACCAATGCTACTGAGTTGACCTTTATTTCTAATTCAAGATTACTAGCATACAACAAAATGAAATTAAATACTTCAACATAAAAATCTTCTGTAACGTGCTCAGTAAGAAAAAATGCACAGTAATGTTTAGTGGATTGGACAGAATATCCCATGAGCTTATGATGTGCTGCAATGGAATTAGGCCAACAAAAGGCCTGAATAAGAGATTCACTAGAACAGTTTCTTCTCCTATCCCATCATCCATCCTAACAGGGACTTTCACTTCCAATTCTTCCAAGGAAAAAACTGATACCTCCATATTTTACCACAACATTGTTGGTCTTCAAACTCACCAAAGATATGAACATTGCTCAAAACTTTGATTGTATAAAGGCCCGAGGCTTACATAAACAGATGCTTGCAATAACTGTAGCCACCAGCTGAAGAGAGGCAGCCACAAAAATATAGCATCTCCAAGAATTTGATGGAATCTTGTGCATGCATAATCATAACTCAGGTCATATCTTCCTGTGAACCTATTACAACTAACCTCATGCCAATACCTACAAAAAGGAGAAAGATGGAAAATAAGAAAGAAAAAGAATGTCAAAACAACTTAATTCTTTTGAAGGTCAATGCATACAGATTAGCTTATAACTATCAGTCAATCTAGCAATAAAAATACCAATATGCAAGATCATAGAATTTCTCCAGAAATAATTGACTTAAAAGCGTCTCAAACTTTATGTCCAGGCTAGTGTTGGATGTTCTCCCAAATGTTGCTAGATGCATACAATTGGAGCAGATTTAGAAAATGACAATTTGTTTCTACAGCTTATGGTCCAATATGCCTGCGTTTTGCCTTCATATAAGCTAGCATGTTTCATTTTTTCCATTGTGCTAACCTCTAAATCAATTGTTTCATAAGTTTCAGCAATTCATTAGCAAAGATGCCTTCCAATAATGTTATTATGTTATAAAAAAAAATTATTATGTAAGTTCAAGAAAGGATTAGGTGATATAAAGCAAGATATACGAATGATACCAGACGGTACATATCGGCCCGACAGTATATCGATACGCGGATCGCTCTCTACCGGGCGAAACGCTTAAAAGCGTCCTGTATCGGACGATATAGAGTTATATTAGGTGGTAACGATTAAAATTTTGATTGTTACCGTCCGACAGAGTTCGGTAATAGTTAAAATCGATCGTTACCGCTCGGTAACAATGCTCCAACAGTCAAATTGACCGTTGGAGCCCTTTCTCATAGGTTTTTAAACTCTTCTTCTCCCTTATTTCAGTCCGTTTCATTCTCATACTCTCTTAAATTATCTCAAACTTTTTTTTTTTGAATTTTTACTCAGAAAGAGTTAAACATGAGGCAATGGAGATAGATAGAACTTCTAAAGAATTATGATTATACCATTTATTATCATCCGGGTAAAGTCAATGTTGTAGCTGATGCACTTAGTAGAAATCTATAAGTTTTATGGCTAGACTGGTTGTGAAACATTGAAAGTCATCGGAAGAAAATTTTGATTTGAATGTTATAAGAAAAGGGCAACACTCAATAATGTTGATGACCTCGGTACGGTACGGTACATGGTACCGTATCATACCAAGCCAAGCTCAAAACATCGATACGGTACAGTATTTCAATCCTTGATATAAAGTATTATAAAATTATATTAAATATGTAAAGAAAGAGCCTTGGAATATAAAGATGAAAAAATGATCCTTTATAAATTATGCTTCAGTAAAATAATATCTCTGATATTATCATAATCAACCTCAAAGTTGGTAGAGTACTAGCAGCTGCTTCCTTGTGACAAGCATAGATAGTTAATATCACCAAGAGCTGAGAACACGATGCTCGGATAAAATATGGCCAAGAATAATTTTACAAAATGTTTCAGTGAATTAATGACTTGGTATCCATTGTAATCAAAGCTGCTTCTTCAAGAAACATACTAATATTTTGATATCTTTGAGTTGCTACAATGAAAACCTGAGTGATGTAATTGTGAAAACAAAGTCTGAAAGATAAAAACAATGTGAGAATTGAGTGTTCTACTCGATACACTGTAGAATCAGTGACCTACAATTTTGGTTGCCAAATTGCAGATTACCTGATCAAGTAAGCCAAAGTTCATCAATCTCCTCAATCAAGCAATGACTACCATCTTAGGTTCAACTTCACTAAAAAATGACATAACAAGATTGCCATGTTAATCTAACAAACAATAAGGTGTTTCACTACCAATAATTTTGACAAGAACATAAGCCCTGTTTAAAATGGTGGAATCGATGCTTATCTCTAACAATTATCTCTCTTCCTGAAACAAGTGATATGAAATTGAAAGCCAAATGGCAATCGTTACACATCCGTAGGTTCTTAACAATCCTAATGAGTGAGTTCTTGGAAGTATTCATGAGCCCAAATGCCACTGCGAGTTTCTCACTGTGGAATCTAAGTGCAAATTCCCTTTCCTCTTCTTCCAATTCATGCAATGCTGCACTGGTTTCAGGCACATAACCTGCTTCCTTAATCTTGTTGATCAATTCTTCCAAGTATTTGTAAATTTCCATAGTCTGTTGGTGAGATGTATCCCCCATGCGGAATACATGGGCTGCTTGATTGATCTCTATCAAGCTATACCCAATTTGCTTTTTCAAATGCCTGTGGATCATTACGTTTCTAATCTTCTCCACTCGATCCATCCTGCCAGCCAATGCAAAAATGTTGGAGAGCAGCACATAGTGAGCAGGATTCCCAGGTTCAATGGCAAGAAGGTGTTCTGCCACCTCCACACCAAGACTGAAATTCTTGTGCATTTTGCAGGCCCCAAGCATCGCTGTCAATACTTCCGGCCCTGGCAGCCCCCTCGTCTCTTCCCTTATGAACAGCATTGCTTCATCCAAAAGTCCAGCTCTCCCAAGCATGTCTACCACACAAACTTGATGCTCGACACGAGGAACCAGCCCATAGTCTTGCCTCATTGATGCAAAGATCTCCTGGCCCTCGCTAACAAGTCCCGCATGTGCACATGCGGATAGAACCGCAACAAACGTGACATCATTAGGTGACAGTCCACTTGACTTCATTTGTTGGAAGAGCTTAATTGCTTGATGCCCGTGACCATGCATCCCATATCCTGATATCATTGCAGTCCAAGCAACCACATTTCGCTCCTGGAGGCCATTGAAGATCTTGCGAGCCTTTTCTAAATGACCACATCGAGCATACATGTTTATCAGTGCAGTGCCAAGAACCACATTGAGCTCTAGACCTTTGTTGACTAAATAGTCATTCACCCACTGACCCAAACTCAAGGCACCCAACTGGGAGCATGCTGACAACAAGCTGACCAGAGTGGCTGAATCCGGTTCCTTGCCGGCCACCTGCATCAATTGGAATATCGCAACAGCTTCCTCAGCAAGACCATTCTGCTCATACCCAGCAATCATTGCATTCCAAGCAACGACCGTCCGATTGGGAATTCTGTCGAACAGCTTCCTCGCGTGGTGCAAATCGCCCGTTTTTCCATAGAACACCACCAATGCGGTCTGAACGAATACATCGGAATCAAACCCATTAGAGATGACTCGCGAATGGACAACTCGGCCGGTTTGCGATGCGGAGAGATCGGCGCAGGCTTTGACGACGGAGGTGAAGGTGTAATTGGAGGGCTCCAAGCAGGCGGCGGACATGCGGCGGTAGTGAACGATGGCGTCGGCTGGGCGGCCGTATTTGGCGGCTGCGGTGATGAGGGAGTTAAAGAGAAAGGTGTCCGGCTCGGGGATGGAGAGGAAGAGGGTGCGGGCATAGGCGGCGGTGGAACAGCTGGCGGAGGAGGAGGAGCAGAGGATGAGAGTAAGAAGCTTGGTTAGGAAGGAGCGTGTGCGGTGGTGGCCGGCGACGACGATGCGGGCATGGACCTGTTGAAGAGGGCGAACGCGGCGTCCCGCACGGAGGAGGGCTTCATAGGTTGGTGAGTGCGGGCAGGGATGTGCGGTTGCTCTTCGTATCATGAGAGCGAAGCCGCAGAGGCCCAAACGTCGGTGTGAGGAGATCAATGTGCGCGAACGGTTGAGATAGGTCGCAAGGGAACAAAGCGACGTTTGAGATTTGTTGGTGCACAGCCCACGTGGAGTCCATACCTACGGACTCCCATCTCCCTATTTTATTTTATTTTATTTTATAAGGGAAAACGTAAATTGCGCTGCCGAGTCCCGACCCCACACTCTCCTTCGGTTGTGCTGTCACCGCCCCCTGATTGTTTTCTTAGTTGGGTTTCTGTTGCCTATTGTTCGTCTCCTTCGCTTCGTCGGCCATGGCGTCCTCCTCCGGTTCTCTGCCCGCCCTAGGTTAACCTTTGTCCCCCCAATTCCAACCCTTCTTCTCTCTTTTTCTTGAGGCTTCATTCCGTTTTCTCCATTTCTTCCTCGCAGAGGCCGTGCAGGTGCTGGTGTCGTCTTTGGTCGACGAATCGCTTGTCGTGAGGGAATCATCTCTGGCCGCTCTTAGAGAAATCGCGCCGCTGTAATTACCCTATATTTTGTTCTTGTTCCTTCCCTGAGATCTTTTCCTCTTGCTCCTTGCTTCAGAATCTTGAAGGGCTTTGCTTCGCAGGAATCCCCTTTTGGTCATTGATTGCTGTGTCTCAATATCCAAAGGAGGGCGTCGGGTATGTAATTCCCGTGAATTTAATCAATTCAAGAATCTGTGTCTGTTTTCTTTGATTCTTGATCGTGTATCTTGAATTGGTTTGATTGGGATCGGTCTGTTGCTCAGCGTTTTGGTAACATGGCTGGAGTGTTCCTTGTTATGGCGGGGGCAGTTCGGGCTATGGACCCGAAGGATGTCGACTCTACATATATGGCTAAGCTTGCAAAGATAGCCACTTCAGAGATTATCACCTCTAAGGTATGAATACCTTGAATGTACATTTGATGAAGAATTGTTCGCAATTTTGATTTAATTGATTTCATGTTTTTACTTCTTCATGTTAGATATGGACTTTACCATATCATTTCTTCTAGAATATTTGTTTCCTTGACTTTGTGATACCTTAGGTTTGTGAGTAGTGACTTTTTAATATGTTTTTATTGTAAATCACATCAAATGCTGGTAATATAAATATACTTTTGTTGTTAAATCAAATGGTGTCTGTAAATTTGATACTTTTTAATATGAATTAAGAGAAAAGGACCTAAAGCCTCAAAAAAGAAGTCAAAACCAATAAACTAATGCAATAATAATATTAACCCTACCTTCTCCGGATTCAATTAGAAGGTTTATGTAGATGGTTGAGTAATTTTCATTTCACTCTACTTGTTCCTTCTCGGACTACGGTCCACTTTGTGCTGATCCTCAAGCACATGGTTCTAACGGCCCTCTATGTTGAGAGTGTATTTCTTAAGTCTTATAGCTACATGATTACTGGAACTTAAATTGAATTCATCTGTAACCTCTGACAAGAAAATGAGGCATTGCTTGCTATCCTTAAAGATGTTTTACAATTGTGATTGGTTTGAACAGGTTCTAGATTGAAATATCTTGTTGACTTTTAATGGTTTTAGATAAGTTGGTGATCAATGATTCAAATACTGATTGAACCAGTACCGATACATTTCAATATTTTGTTTTATTTCATTTTTTTCAACCACACCAGATGATACATACTGGCATATAAACTGATATTTTAGGGGTTGGGAAAAAAGCAGAGAAAGAAAAGAGTAGGAAAACTAACGAGGTTGGGAAAAAGCAGCTACTTCTTCAATTCTTTAACCAAAAACAGATAATTACTAGCCCTTTTGAAGGAGTGTGTGTCATAGAAAATGTGCTACTCATTGGATCTTAGAAGACCTGTATTCCGTGATAAATGAAGGCTTAATGATTGTAGTAGTGAGAAGTTTGTGAACTTTAATAGCTTAATGGTCTGGGTGATATAGAACATGAGAGGGCCCTTTCGGCCTTTTATTAAATACATTGGACAAGAATGCAATTACAGGATTTATCTATGTTGATCATCTTAATTTTTAATCAATATTGAACTTTTGAGACAAAATCCTAGTGAGGCTTTAAGAGGACTGCTTATTGCATGAGGCTTCCACCAGTGCGATGTTTAGGGAGGAAGCAGGGGAGTTATTTCATTGTCTTAAACCTCAGTCGCTCTGTCATAGAGGAGCAACCAACATGAGATCAATTATATGTATTTAGAAAAGTATTGTGGACCTTCTCTTGGCAAAGACAGACTGTCTGTTGACTTTCACCGTGAAGGTTACATAATAAGAGAAAGTGGAATAAAGAGAGATCTATTTTCACTCTTTCGGGTGATAGAGAAGCTCCAAGTCGTGAGCCGATAGAATAACAGTTGCTAACTTGATAGAACTGAACCATAGCTTAAAATTCTTAAGCTTAAGTTAGCAGTAGTAGACCCATCTAACTCTTTAAACCAACTCAAATTTCCTCCCACATCTAATGTGGGACTAAATTTGGGTGTCACACGCTAACACATCAAAGAAAAGGAAATAATCTTTTTAGAAATATTAACTGCCACTGAAGCAAACAATCTAACAGTAGATCTCAAACTCTCAAGGGTCCTGAGAATCTCAGAACAATATTCTATTCTTTTTCTGTGTGCACAATAAAACAGTTGAATAATCTTTTCTGATACATGGATGAAAATAGAAATTGAAGATGAAAGTTGATGTTGCTCTACTTTGTTTTTTCATTTTGTTTGTAATGATTAGTTAACCTATATTATGTGATATTCATATGGCTTATCTTATGTACTGCTAGGAACTTAATGCTGACTGGCAAAGGGCAGCAGCTGGTCTACTTGTTTCAATTGGATCTCATGCGCCTGACTTGGTAAGATTTTTTTGATGAGCTTGAGTATTTTATAGTAACTGTTCTGTCTTGATCTTGTAGTTGATTGGTGGAAAGATTTTTGGAAACCTTTAACATTGGTAACTATTAATAAGTCCTACCAAGTTAGACACTAAAATACCTTGATAAACAGCATTTTTTGTGCTGTTCAACATAAAACAGCCTAGGAAATTTGCCACTCTCTTAACTTCTCTCTTCTATTAGAATACCTTGATTTGTAACTATAGCAAGGTTCGCCGTACCGTACCATACTGGCGTTTCAACCCGGGCTCGGTACGGTACGGTATGGGTGTACCGACTGGTATACCGAGGTGTACCGAGGTGTACACCCGATTTCACCGATTTAACCATCCGAAAATACCTGAAAATTAAAAAAAAAGTTAGGATAGGGTTTTCAAGTTACAAATAAATATAGTAATAGTATAAGTTTAGCAAAATCAATGTAAATTAGGTAAGAATAGGCTAATAGCATCACATATCTTTTTCGGGCTTTGAGGTAGTCTTGTTCGAGGTTCGTATTTCAGCTCGTTATAGATTCAAAATTCAAATTATGATAAAATTATCATTTATCTACACTAATTATATGATTAATATAATTAATTTTTCACTAATTACTTCTCTTTCACCACTATAAACATGACAAATACCCTAATAGGTATTAAAAACATTAAATTGATATAAAATCAAACAAATTTTGATTAAATCATCATTAAAATAACTAATCGCAGCATTAAATAACTTTAATAAAATTTAATTAAACTTATTTTACTATGATAAATATTATTCAATACTTACTATGCATGAAAAACACTAATCATAATCTTAAATATCTTAATTACTCTCTAATTAAAGAAAACGAATACATACCTCTTGATTAGAAAGTTCTTCCTCTTAATCTTCCCAAATTAACCTCGATTGAATTCACAAATCGTTGTTTTATGGAGTTTATGAGAGAAAAAAAATGTTTGAGAGAGAGTTTAAGTGAGTATAATGAAATAGGGGAGAGAAGATTGGTTTAAATAGGAGGAGAAAGGGCTCCAACGGTCAATTTGACCGTTGGAGCACCATAGCACTGTTACAGTGTGGTAACGGTCGGTTTCGATCGTTACCGAGTGGTATCGGTCGATTTCGACCGTTACCGCCCGATATTACCCGTAACGTCTGATACGGGTTTTTTTATGGGTGTACCGCCCGGTAGCGGGCGGTCCGCGTACCGGTCGCCTCTCGGACCGGTACGTATCGCCTGTACCGGGCGGTACGAATCAGTATGGCAGACCCTGAACTATAGAACATCAAAATATTGCTATAACAGTTTTAGGTTAGTCCTGAGCTGTACTGGAACTGTACTGTTTTGACTGGTGTTAGACCGAAAGATTAACCTTTATTTGATTGGAGTGGATGCATATGCATGACAATGCTTTGTTATATTGATTGAGAAATAGTTGTTTATACATACTGAAAATGTGCTCCTGTATATTGATCTTGTGGATATACCACTAGGATAAACTCCCATATATGTTCTTTTGAACAGACATAATCAAAATGAAAAATTTGTTGGGACATTTACAGCTTTATTGTTGTTGTTGAATCAAAATAAATAATTTACAATATACTTGAAGTGGTGTATGATTAAGATTACAACTTCCTAAGAATGTTTATCTTTTTAAAAAGGTTTTATGGGAATCAGGGCTGTGGTTTCGTTCAGATGGAACGCAAGGGGCAGCAGCATGTACCAGTCTGGGCGTGAACCTGTATGTGGACCACTCCCATTTCGGCGGGTCCGGTCTGGCCTATTAATAAAAAAAAAAAAACCTATTTAACTCATATGGTTTACAGCTTGCGTTTGTGAGCCCTTTTTGCTATACACGCTGAGCTGCCTGCTGCCACTCGTTGTCTGCTGTCATTTTTGGATATGCTTCCTCCTGTTCTCCTCTTCCTCTTGCTCCTCTTCCTTTTCCTCTTCCTCTTCCTCCTCCTCTTCTTCCATCATCTTCTCGCCTCTTCCACCTCCGTGGCCTCCTCTTCTTCCATCTTATTCTTCCTCCTCTACCTCCACCATCTCCCCTTCTCCTTCTTCTTCCACTTTGAGTCTTTGATATGTATCAGTATACCATTTGGTACATTGGTATTGGTTGGTACATCAGAATGATACACATGGTCAGTACGAGATGGCAATCCATATATGGGAATACAAGTTTTGCCGGGTGAAATTCAAATTTTAAACATTGCAGGGCTACATGTGCTTGCTAATCCTTGTTGTTATAAACTGTTTTTTTTTGGGTTATTGTCATTTTTGGTTCCCATAGTAAGACCTCATTTGTGGTTTTGTGGTCTAAACTTAGCGCAAGCTGAATATAGCCGTGTAATATGTTGTTCTTGTTGGAACTCTAGTTTCTTGTTTGTCTTTGTTCTTTTTCAAATAGTTTGAATGTAACCATCTTTAGACTTTGCTTTATCCTTTTTGATACTAATATTTGATGGTAGTATTTGGCTCTTCATTTATTCCCATTTTTTTATCATTTTCTGATATCAACTATCTGATTTGAGCTAAACTCATGTTCTAGATGATGGAAGAAGTTTTTCTCCATTTATCCGGACCTAATTCAGCTTTACAGTCCATGGTGCAGATACTAGCAGATTTTGCATCTGCTGAAGGTGTAGAATCCCCCCCCACCCCCCCTCTCTCTCTTTTTTCTTTAACTGAATTTATTGGATGGTATCTACACACTTTTAGCTAACATTGTGTACTGTTCCCCAAGCCTTGAAATTCACCCCACATTTGAAAGATGTCCTTTTACGTGTGTTACCTATTCTTGGAAGTGTGCGGGACACTCAACGGCCAGTTTTTGCAAATGGTATTTGTTTGTTAAACATTTTTTTAGGGCTTTTATATGACCATCTTGACATAACTGACAAACATTTATCCAGCATTTAAATGCTGGTGTCAGGCTGCTTGGCAGTATATTGGAGATTTCCCTTCAGATCCGCTTCTTGATAGTGATGTGATGTAAGCTTCTGATATCTTTCTGTTCATGTGTTATGGATTATTGGATGTACTCATCAGCTATTCATCAGCCTGACACTAAAATATACTTCAGGTCATTCATGAACTCTGTTTTTGAGTTATTGTTGAGAGTTTGGGCAGGTTCACGAGACCTAAAGGTATTTAATGATGATATCTAAATTCTAAATACTCCCTTAAATTTAAATGAATAGTCATAAGGTGGAAACTCCAAACAGACGCATACTTGTACAAGTTCAATGTGTGTACCCTCTTCTTTTGGGTAAGATATCAATTTATCTTACCTCATAGCATGTATATTATATCCCTATAATATCTGTTGGTACAGGTACGACTTTCTGCAGTAGATGCTTTAGGACAGATGGTTGGACTTATTACCCGTTCGCAGTTGAAGGCAGGATTGCCCAGGCTAATCCCAACGATTTTGGACTTGTGTGTATTAAGATGACAACGATCTTTTATTGATTTATTTTTCCAAAGATGAGTGTAAAACATGAGACGTGGTTATATGCTTGTTGTTTTACCTGTGTCAGATACAAGAAAGATCAAGAGATTGCTTTTCTTGCTACACAGAGTCTGCATAATCTTCTTACTGCCTGTTTGCTATCAGAGAGTGGTCCTCCCCTACTTGATTTTGAGGTAGATTTTGTTATTCCTATTTTTATGAAGGATTGATCGTGCATTTATGATATGATCTTGTATCAGTAAAGATATATAGTATATTAAGGTATGCAATACCGTACCATACCAGTGTTTCGAGGTTAGCTCGGTATGGTACGGTACCGTGTACCGAGCGGTACACCAGGGCGTACTGAGCGGTATACCTAATTTTAAATATTTCTCTCTCTACTGTAGCACTATAGCACTGTAGCACGTTCCGTCCGGCAGCTAGCGGTCTGCGTACCGGTATACCGTTGGACCGGTATGTACCGCCCGTACTGGGCGGTACCATTCGAAATTGCATACCATGTAGTATATAACTTTGCAGAATAACTTGATGATTATGTTTTGGTTCTTTTTTGCTTTTTATATATTGTTAGAAACTGGCCCCTTGATTTTCTATTCCAAGGGTGAAAACTTCCAGAGACTTGGGATCAACTGAGATTAAAGGAATCATGCTAATACTGGAAATAAAAAACAATTATGCCTTGAGAATTAAGATCAAATGTTCTTTTTTTCAATTATGGAAAAAATTATCACTCAACAATGATTATAACACTTCAAATGTGTCTTTTAATAGTGAAACAACCTTTCTAACTCATAGTCCATGCAATGTTCCTAATAGGGCTCTTGAACATTAGTTAGACTAAAATTAGGACTCTCATGACTCTTTAGCTACTAGAAAGTATAAATAATGGCAAATGGAATAGTTTTAAAATCACAAGAAATGGAAAGGAATCAAGAATTATACTATCTTATACAAGGCTTGCTCAGGGTTATTACTCTTGATCCTTGCCTTTTCCATCTTGAGCTGGAATATATTCTGTAGTGTTGAATCCAAAGATGGATTGGTCACTTTTTTTTTTTTTGTTGGGCTTGGGATCGTTGTCTTGGATGGAAGATCCTCCAAACATTCTTTCTTGGTCAACGAGCATGATGTCTGGGTTAAGATTGGAGTTAGCACCTGCTATACGAGGCTTTCAATTGTAAAATAAAGCCCAATAATGGCGAGCCCTTTCCTTTGGTTGAATAGGTTTTATTGATTGCTGACTAAGTTCAAGATAGGTATGTCCAAGGCTTGACGTACGACCTGAAATGGTATGAAATGAGTTGTATGTATCGGTTTTGGGTGGTACATAGAAAATTGCCATGGTATCAGTCGGTAGGGTGGTGTATGGGTTGATATAATTGAAACTTGACCATTACCGACCCGTATGATACATTCAAAGACTGTTACCTAACCATTTCAGGCAGTACGTGGAAACTCGACCATTACCGACCCATATGATACATTCAAACTTGATTGTTACCTAACCATTTCAGGCGGTACATGGAAAACTGATCTAGTATCAGTCGATATGGGTGGTATATCGATCGATATGATTGAAGTTCGACCCTTATCGACCTGTTTGATATGATCAAAACACATTGGATTTCGATTGGTACCAACCCAAAACTGGTCAAATCTAGCCCTAATGGTCAAATTGAAGGTTGGGGTCTCTTTTGGGGCTTTCAATTTCCCTCCCTCCCCCATTTTTCACTCACTCTCACTAACTTTAGTGCACTCTCTCATTCCCACTTTTTCTCATACTCTTGTGATTAAAGTTTCTAATTGGTGATTAGTGGCAATCAAGCTCTAGATCAATGATTAAAGTTCCTAATCGGAAAAACTTCAAAATTTCTTCCTTATAACTTTGATTTTCTATTCATGTATGCCTGGCAAGCCGAGCATGGGGCTGAGGGTGCATATACATTTACTTAATTCTTGATTGCTTGGTGCTTGAGGGGATCAACTTATGTGATAAGGGACAATCAACCTTTGAATGGCCAATGAAAAAACGTTTTGTCAGGCTCTGGATCTCTAAGCTTGTTCCCCGAACTTTTGCTTGTTCCTACATGAGTGCTTTTTCTTCATTATAGGTCACCGCGTATGCCTGGAAATGGTTGTGTTGGGCTAAAAATTGCTGATTAGAAGAACTGGGCCAAGCTTGGGCCTGTTCTTATCATTATTCTCTCCAGACCATTTGAAAAATTAGTCCCTAGTTTTGACCAAGAATGTGGCTGACCATTTGTAGGCTAGATATGGGCAGATTCTTTCTTGAGGTCCAAGGTTGAAGGCCAAAATCCATTGCAGGGTTTGAAGTTTAAGCAGTTGATATAATATGCATGTGCATTGATACAAGCCTGAGGAACACCATTTCAGTGTCCAGAAGAAACATCCTAGGGCTTGCTTGCTGTAATTAAGGTGCACTTTTAGTTAGCATTATTATTGTTTTCCATGACCATGTGAGCATAATAGCACAACATTAATCTCTGGCTCTTTTTTTCCAGAGAAAACTTCTTGCTGTGTATCTGTCTCTCTTTTCTTTCTTTCTTTCTTTCTTCTCTCTTTTTTTACTATATCTCATCTTGTTTTTCTTACATTTGTCATAGTAAATAAATTGATAACCTTGGCCTATCTTCACCTTGAGAAGCAAAAAAGTAAGGAAACTAAATTCTATAGAGCCATTGTCAGTTAATTAGATGAGGCTGACATTGTGTAAGAAAAACTCAATAGAATGGTTTGCTGGTTGATTTTAGTGGTTAATGCTTTATTTTGAAATGATATCAATTGCATCCTCAAGAGATTGCTTGCTTTGAAGATCTATGTTCTACTAGTATGGTTGAAGCACATGGTGATCCTAGTTAATTTATCTTTGCTTTTAGGTGATTTTATACCTGCTCCCAGCTTGTTTTCAAATATGTGTCTCCATGTCCAACAAAGTACTATACTCCATGTCTGACAAAGTACTATACTACCCTACCATCTTGGCTACCATCCACTCTGTACATTTTTTTTTGGAAGCAACTCTCTGACACTCTTTATAAGCCTTATCATCCTCATATCTGATGTTATATTTTGGTTGTAAATCATCTTGGCTACTGTCTGCTCTATGTTTCCTCAGGATTTTAATGTATCTGCTACACCTGAATCTAGTCAGACCTTACCAGATCTTTCTGGCATCTGTTACTTCTGCAGGACCCAGATATTTCCCACATTGCATACAATTTTATCAGTGCTTAGAAATGCTTCTTTGGAAACAATTCACTCTTCCTTTCTCTACTAATGAATCTGCAAAGCAGTTAGACCCTGTCAGGAGTTGTAGAGTGATTATTTTTGTTACTCAGATCAAGAGATTTTATTTCTTGTAGTTGCAGTTTAAACTGTAAACTTGACTTTGTTTATTCTTGAGTGGTTTGAAGGCTTAAGTTCTAATTAACGATTTTCAATACATGGGTCTATATCAGAAAATAATAAGATGAATATTTTGATGATTTGAGTTTCAATTTTTGTTCATTAAAGAAATCTAACTGTTAAGTTAGATGCTTATGTTTAGGTTTATATGGGATTTTGTATTAGGTTTATATGTGATCCGTGTAGTTAAGGCATTATGCAACATTAGAATTTTCAATCCTTTTGTTTGTTTTGCTCAATTTCTCGTAAATGTGAATTTGTTTTCTGCAGGAACTTACAGTAATCTTGTGCACGCTTCTCCCCGTAGCATGCATCAATAGCCAGACTGATCACCGTTTGAACTTCTCGATGGGCCTAAAGGTGCTTCCTTAGTTTGAAGTAATGACTAATATTTGTTTATGCCAGAAATGAGAATCCCAACTTAGCACTGTATTTGTTTCTTTGGCTTCTCTTCCACATTTAGGTATCAAACCATTTTCTGAAATGCAACCTGTAAGATTTCATGTTATATGATAGAGGGGAATATTATGATGATATGATGGTTAAACTTTTAATACTGCATTATTCAAATATACTGAAAGCACAAGACATTCATCATAGCCACATTCATTAGTTTATGGGATCGATGACATTTGATTGAACTTTTGATTTTAGATGGAAAGTGGACAAGGGAATAACCATTCATGAAATTTCTAACCAAATGATTTTAAGCACTGAAGAGTGTAATCTAGTGCACAAGGTTCACTATTAGTCATATAACGATAAGCTTCTTGGTCATAGGTCTACCTCAGAGATTATTGAGACGACTTTTGGCATTGGACCCACTTGTTTCAAAATGTTGTACCACTATTAGATTACATTTGAAAATATTTGGTAAAAGTCTTGATGAGGTAGCAGCTTAATAAGAAAGTCAGCCTTCGGAAAAAAAATAACCTTGGGTCTGCCATCATCTTTTCTTCACTTGCCTTCTTTTGGATTTGATGCTCTGAACTTTAGGTGCACTGCTACTAGAGGAAAACCACATATCAAAGCATCATTTACAATTTGATTAATACAAAGTTTTTCAGGAATTGGAAGTAATAGTTCTCCACTGCATAAGGTCATTGCTAAAATCATCTGAAACTTCTTCATTTTTTAAGCTTGTAACTTCTTAGATAATGCTTTCCCAAATTTTTCACAGCTTTAGGAGATTTTTTGCGTGTTATTTTAGCTACCTACATATTTCACCAATTTGTCTTTTAATATTTGGGGCTAAGATTTGTTCCACAACACCAGAAGTTACTTGAAAGTGTCTGTTTTTGTTATTAGATTTCTTAACCACTTTGATTTTCCCTTTTCATCTAACTACCTTTAGTTGTTGCTCTTTGTTTAAAGAGCAATCCTCGTGATCATCTCTTAATCTATAGGTTGATTCTTTAGGTTCTCTGGCATTGGCCCCTTCATTGATCTACTAAAGAGTAGCTCTTCCTTTTTTTTTCTAGTTACTCCCTGTTTCTTCCTTTTTTTGTTAGAAAATTTTGCTTTGAATAGATGATGCTCCTCTGTTTTCTCTTCTCCTTTTTTTTTCTTTCTTCTTTTCCTTTTTGAGACTTTTTTTCTTTTACAAAACAGATAAAGATAGCCTTTTATTTATTCTTTTCATTTGAAGTTAATGTTCAATTTCCATCAAACACTTCAATAACTCGGAGAACAATAAGAACTCTCTGCATGAAGCAAGAAAAAAGTGAAATCTAAGCAATTCCTTTTTTAAGGTTATCAACCCTTCAAGAGGAAACCACCTAAAGCTTTCTAAGCAAATTTCCAGTTTTAGGTCAAACATCCTGGAAAAGCCTATAATTTTTGCCTGATTCACAAGTTCATTTCGAACAAAATGGTGTAAGGATAGAATGAAATGGGTTCCCCAAAAACCCAATGTCCTTTACAGCGTAAGTTATTGAATGACCTTCCAAATCTCGAAGGCAGGCTAATAGTTAGAAAATATATGATAAGAAGATTTATGGATCAAGCCAGGAGGATTGGACAACCAACCTTTTTTAACAAGGAACTTGTCATTGTGAATGTGATAGCTAAGAGGTAGTTGCATGAAGATTTTAACGTATTGGACTTAGGGGATTCTAGATATATGATTAAATGGCCAGAAGCCCCCATCAAAACAGAAATGGTTATAGAAGAAATCTGGCAAAGATAGTGAGCCATGTGCCATTGCATGTTAATTATTACTCTTGTGTTTAGACATGCATATTTATGCGAGTAAAATACATGTCATTCGTCTAGTATCAGTTCATGGAGAATGGTTTCTTGCTATTCATGGATAGTAAATTAATTTCAAGGAATTCCATTTTGCTTGGACGAGTATGTACTGGCCATTATCTATTGGTTTGGGAGTGCACCGAGATGTGGACTGCCCCTTTCTAGTGTCCAGTTGCGGTACAAGGCTTATTGCATGAATTTTCTTATTTTTCTTTTTAACTCCAATAAATAGGAACCATAATACCTCCGCTTTCTCTGTCTCATGATATCTCCTTCCACACTCATCTCCTTTGCACCACTTGTCACAGACCACTTGCTGCTCGTGCTGCCTGCCCAGTGCCACCAACACTCCTGTCCACTGCTCGGACTGATACTGCTCTCTTCTGCCTCCTCGTCTTTGTCAATTCCTCCTCTCCTCTTTGTCCTCCTCTTCTTCTCCCTTTCTACCTCTCCTCCAGTGTACTGGATGCTGTCATGCTGGCACTGACCAGACCCATACTGGTCTGGTCATTGACCGGTATGGGTCTCCTAACTGAAATGTCAAACCATGATTAATGTACTGCTACATAACATTGCTACAATCATCAATTTGCTGCTCTTCTATTTTCTTTCTTTTTTTCTTTGCATTATTCATCTACTTGTTTAAACGCAAGACATTTTGTTAAACTATGATATATTGATCAGTTTATTCTTCTTTTGCAGACTTATAATGAGATTCAGCATTGCTTTCTTGTAATTGGTTCTGTATATCCTGAGGATCTCTGTGTCTTCCTTCTGAATGTGAGTGGTTGTTAAAGTGCAATGTTTTGTAGTTGCATCGACATATTGGTAATTTGAAATAGTAACTTGTCTGGTTACGTTTGGGAATGGACATATATTATAAAATAGACACATTGAAGCATACAAGCTTTAGTCCTTACACGGTTCCCCATCGAGTGAGTATAATGATTGGAAATCGGAATAACATATCTTATGAAATTATCTTAGATATAGACATGTTCCACTCTGGAATAGAGTGTATTCATTAATTATAATAAGCTTCAAGGCCAACTAGAATCATTATGGTTTCAATGGTTTCTGCAGTGCTTGAGAAAGTTATCATGATATTAAACAGATTATCAACCTTACCTTTTTTACTGATTTAGTAATACAAGAGTCATATGATTCAGTATTTTGCTTCATGTTAGCCTGGAAATTGATAACAGAATCATTGTCTGAAAAATCTTTTCCAAGTTTCATACTTAAAATGTAATATGAAGCTTGTCTCAAAGGTTGTCAAATTAAATGAGGAAATATTATTTGCCAATGCATAGTTTGAACTTCAAACTTTGAAGCAATATGTACCAGAACATAATTGTCATTGAAATTCATGATACAAGAAAACTATCAAAGTATCAATACTACAATTTGTGAATAATAAAATTATCTGGCAATCAATCAATTATTCTCAGATTCACTGTTAATTTCATAGACTTTAGAACAACTTATCCTAGTCATTTTTGAACCCTTGATGTACTAGTAATATAATTATGCTTTATCACAATAAGACTACTGAACTAATAAAATTTCCTTACTGCATCTGATATAGAGCTCAACACAACTAAAAAAACCATAGTTTTCTCAAAGTAATTTAAATTTGAATTGATTCATTGATTCATCTTTTAGACTGGAACAAATTCTGCTTTGTTTTTACCCAAAAACATATTTGAGGTGGAGTTGTGAAATACAATATTTGGATCTAAAAGGGATTTCATGCATGAATCATTTAAGACCTGCATGAATCATTTAAGACCGACATTCTTGCAAGCATTGTGCCCTACAGAAAAAAAATAGTTTATGCTAGACATACAGTATATCTTAAATTGAAGACAACTTCCACCCAATCTCGAGATTCCAAGCCTCTTTTATCCCGATCAGCCTCCACTAATCACAATTTGAAATCAAAAGACTGAGGGTGAGAAGTGAGAGTGAGAAAGAGAGTGAGTGACAGTGATAGAGGGGGAGAGGAGGCAGCCAAGAGCGGGTTATATTACCCCCAAATGTGGGCCAACGGTCAAATTTGGGTTAAATTTGACTGTTGGCATATCGTATTGATCGGTAATGGTTGAATATCTGCCATACGCCTGGTACATTAGGTGTCCCAGCCGGTATGCCTTATACCACCCTGATCTGGCTTGAAATTGTTTGCTCTGGGTTTTGGGTAGCAGTTGAACTGGTACATGCCACCTGTACTGAACCGTTGTGGGTGAAATTGCAGTCCATGGATATACTCATATTAACTGTCTATTTAATGGCTAAATACCAACTAAATAGTTACCTTCAACCATTTTATGGCAATAACTTTTAGGATTGACTATTAGATATGACACACTTAAATCACACTGAAATCAGCATCCTTAACATTATAAGATTATGATTCTTGGGATCATGTATTAGAAAAAATATCTCTGTCTCTTCCTGATTAAAGTTTCTTGTGCTTCTGTTTCAGAAATGTCAGTCAAAAGATGAACTGTCAACAATTGGAGCACTCTATGCAGTAAAGCATCTATTACCCAGGTTTGTTTCCAAATTTTAGCCATTTTTAAAGATGATTTCATTTGTTTTTGTGATTTTATGCTTCCAAGTTCCAACATCCCTCTATGGCAGACAACATCCTGCACTCCATTTTGACCAAAATATCTAATTCACTTTGGGAAACCAAGGGTGTGTGTGGAATGTTATCTTCAGCAGGTGGAGGTTCAAACTGTAATATAGCAAAAACATAGGGTTTAATATGAAATTCAATCTTTTCTTAGAAAAACTCTAATCTGGCTTCAATCCCATCTTAATCCCCGGTTGTTGTCTATGTAGGTTGTTGGAAGCTTGGCATGGAAAAAGAGTATCACTTGTTGAAGTTGTCAAATTGCTGGTAGATGAGCAGAGCTTAGGTGTTAGAAAAGCACTTGCAGAAGTAAGCCACTATTTCCTCTTATTACTCTTTTACTCCTTCAAGTTCTTTTGTATCAAAGCTTTAGATTATGGATTTTGATTTAGCTATGTTTCTATATTCACACAAATACAACTGTTGTTTCAGTTAATTGTTGTCATGGCTTCGCACTGTTACTTAAGTGGGCCTCCTGCAGAGCTTTTTGTGGAGTACCTTGTACGCCATTGTGCTATTTCAGACCAGGAAATAAAAATATTCAAGTCTTTGAAGGAAGCCTCTTCTAGGGGCAGCCCTTTCCAGTCATTTCAGAATAGAAACCTTAAGGTAAGACCTGGGCTTGTACTGAGTAATTATGGCTGGCGTATTTTTATTTAACAGAAGCTTAGCAGGCTTCAGTTTTTCAGGTAATGGTAGGTGCAGTTAGTCCATCAGAACTGAGGGTAATCTGTGAAAAAGGTCTCCTTTTATTGGCTATCACAATTCCTGAGATGGAGGTAATGAGATGACTAGTGACATTTAAAACTTCTTTTACTTAGATGTGCATTTTGTTCTCGTGGTTTGTCTCATTAGTTTAGTATGTTCTAGTTTCGTTGAGGTTCTCTTATTGCTAATTCCTTAGTGGCTATCTTTTATAGTTATGCTTCTGATAAGTTGGTCCCTTGTCTACTGATATTCTCCAGCATATACTCTGGCCTTTCATCTTGAAGATGCTTTTACCAAAAGAATATACAGGTGCAGTTGCAACGGTAAAAATATATTTTTATACTTGGAGAGTTTCATAGGTTTAAGCTCTTTGCTTTTGTGTCGTGGTTTGTTGATCAAAGGAATTATCTGAGATTCCTTGGGGCCTTGGGCATATAATGTCAGATCACTATTTTTTGATACTGATACTAGTAGATTTGGTAATATCATTTTTGTGGTTTGTAGGTTTTCTGTGCTTGGACTAATATTTAGTGGTCTCCTCGTGTTGATTTTCTGGCAGGTCTGCAAGTGCATAACTGAGCTGTGCAGGCACAGGTCATTTCACACAAGTATGATATCCTGTGAATTTAATAATTCAAATGATATTCCTAGCCCTGAGGTAAAGCAAGTTGCTTTTCATGTCTGAGTATTTTAAAATTGTAATTTATTTCCTGTGAATTTAATAACTTATCTGTGCAAGCTTTTTTGTTTGTGCAGGATCTTTTTGCTCGATTAATTGTTCTTATGCATGACCCTGTTGCAAGGGAGCAGCTGGCAACTCAAATTTTGACGGTCCTTTACTGATCTCTTCTATATCTTGGAAATTCTTGTATTTCTAATGATAATCAATGGGATTTGTGGTCATATAGGGTCACTGTTCTTTGATCAGTCAAAAGTTAGGTTCTTTGATTTGTCAAAAGTTCATAATTCAACTCTATTTCTGAGCTGATATGTCTGCGTGTGCTAAATTTGTAAAACTCTAAAATTCCCCATCTTATTGATATTTACGATGACACATTCCCTATCCATCAATTCACAGATAGATATCTACTTTGTGCCAATGTGCCTACGCAGTTGCTAGATGGTGTTGGCTGTGGAGAACTGAAGTCTGTGTTTATAGCAACAAATAATGGCAATGGTTTTGGTGAAGTTGTGGCAAAACTGGTGGATGAGATAGACTGCTGCTAGATGGTGTTGGCTGTGGGGGAGAGGTGAGGTCTGTGTTCATAGCAACAAATGATGGCAATGGTATTAGTGAAGTTGTGGCAAAACTGGTGGATGAGGATGATCAACAGAAGGTCATTGCAGTGATCATGGTGGTGCTTTTGTAAGCTTTAGAATGGTAATGGTGGAGGTGGCATTGGATGTGACGTTACAGCTATAAGGGGATAGATGAGCTGATGATGATTGTTTAAAAACACCAAATTTTTAGATTAGAATTGTGTAAAAGCAGAATATTCAGTGATTATTTTTTCTATTCTTCTCATTTGCTGATGATAGGGATTATGTTTGGAGAAAAGTTACAATTGGGGTCATGTTATAGTTCAGGGTTATGTGACTTTGCAAGGCATATGCAATTTATCTATCGAGAGTAACAACTGATACCACGACATTTTTACAAATCCTGTTTAGAAAGATAAATGCTAACAGCACATTGATTTATCGAGTCTTGTCTAGAGATTTGATTCGAACTACATTTATTTAATACAGATGTGTTCTTTATCTTTAAACTTTTTGAAGTGTGTATATGTGCGTAGAATGTATTGTCTATGTAGTGAGCTATATTGCATGAACGGTAAACTTTCTTACAACTGATACCACAACATTTTTACAAATCCTGTTTAGAAAGATAAATGCTAACAGTACATTGATTCATTGAGTCTTGTCTAGAGATTTGATTAGAACTACATTGTATTTAATACAAATGTGTTCCTTATCTTTAAACTTTTTGAAGTGTGTATATGCATGTAGAATGTATTGTCTATGTAGTGAGCTATATTGCATGAACGGTAAACTTTCTTACGGGTACCCTATTTATTGCAGGTTTTATGTTTCTTAGGTCCTTTATTCCCCAAAAACCTGAGTTTCTTTTGGCAAGATGAGGTATAACACTTGTAAGGTACTCTTTTAAATGTGTTGGAGTCATCTTCCTTTTATAAATTGACATTCCTGGTAGTTTGTTACCATTGTATACTTGGAGTAATCTCAAATCAAACCTCTATTTACATGGCAAGAAAATGATCTTTTTGTTGTTAAATTTGTACCGACAAACACTTGTTTTTTATTTTCTTTTGCATTTTGAATGTAATTTAATAATCTTGGTATTCCTTGTTTGTGGGAATCTGCTCATTATAAAATCTTGGTGAAATTTTAGAAATTTGAAGTAATGAAGAATTTAATGTTGATGATGGAAACTTTTTGGGATGGACTTTTCATTCTTTGTTGAATGATCTGTAAATACCAGAATCCAAAACTTTGAGGGTTTTTGATTCAAATATTGTGGCTTTGATTAAGAGTGCATCTTGGTGTTTCTGGTGGGGGATAAACATGTCTGCATGGAGATTTCTCCAATTTTTTCTGTTATTTTTTTAGAGGTTTTGCTCTTTACTGAATCTCTAGTCATTATCTTTGAAGCCCTATCTTTTATGTCTCCTCTTTTGCTTTTCTCTTTGCTTTCTCTCTCTCTTGCTTTTTCTGACATTTTCATTTCCTTTATGAAATGAGGTATGAATCTGTTTTTGTGTGTAGGCTAAATGACTAATTGTTCACTTAAATGTCTAGAATAGTTGTTCAATTTTGATTGTGCTTTGGTTGGTGATTAACACTTAAATGACTAATTGTTCACTTAAAGTATGTCTTCATTGAACAATAGCTGGAAATTATGTTTAATGAAAATGAAAAACAGTTATGTACATCCAGGAAATTCATAGAAGTTTCCATGACAAGGATCAATAGCTTGTTAATGATGAATTTTGGGAGTTAACGGAAGAAAAATGTAAAATAATAAGAAGCTGAGTCTGCAGCAAAGCAAGGCAGAAGTAATATTGCTAAAGTAGTAATAGTGTAACAGAAGGGCAAGAAATGAAAGGAGCAATGAAATGGATAATGGCAGTAACCAGCAACTTGTAGAACACTTAAGAAGTAAATGTAGATCTTGATGAAATTGTCCATACATCAAGCGGAAACTGAGGTATGCACACCTTTCAAATGGTGTTGCAACTTGGGTTGGTTTCAAACTGAACCTGCTTTACCCAACCTGAGCAATGTGCTAGGTTTTGTTGGATTTCCTGGAACTTTGATCTCATCAAGGAACTAGAATGAAATTCGGTTGGGTTGGGGTTTCCCAAAAATTCAAGCTGAGAAACCCAAAGGCAACTGGTTTAATAAATTCAAACATAATCCAATTTCATTTGGCATTATGAGGTGTTGCTACATAATAATACAGAGTATTATTTCTTATCATTTTTTGATAATTATACTTTAGCTTCATCAGCTTCTGCTGTGTAGAACCCTAGTGACCTGGTCATGGCAAATGATTCACTAGCTTGACCCACCTTTTTGAGTTTAACCCAACATTCACTAGCTTGACCCACCTTTTTTAGTTTAACCCAACCTGATGTTGGATTGCAATCTGAGATTGGTTGATCTTTTGATACAATCTTGTGCTGGCTTGGATTATGATTGGACATCGACCATATTAACCTCTTCAAGCACCTTTATTTTGATGCCTAAAGCTTTAAAGGATGTTACCCTTGAGCCTTGACTGAGGCAGGATGCAAAACTTGCATTTAGGTTCACCTTGCAGCCAGGCTCACATCCAGGCATGTCTTTTTTAATACCGCTGACTTGATTAATTTGCCTATGGTTTCTAAAGTGTTGTGCAATCATCTCTTATGGTTTAAGTGTAGAAGCAATATATATGTAGCTACCTTCAAAGTGGTTATATTCATGTCACCACAGAGATATTATGCAAACTGTGGATACTATGAAATTCTTGGGATTTTGTTGGATATGTTATCATGGTGCCTGCTAGTTTCAATGTCTTCAACTTTTTTATGTTGCTTTTTCCATATTCTATTGCAGCTTATTAGAGATTTGTTGATACAATCATCTGATGTAGTTGTTCTTGGCAAGAATTTTATATGGTCTTTCTTTATAAGCATTTTATATAGTCTTTCATTAATCATTACAAATATTTTATATAGACTTACTTTACAAGTATCCTATATAGTCTTTCTTTACAAGCATTCTATATAGTCTTCCTTTTGGCAAGTACTAGGTTCCCAAAATGAAGGCATACATAAGTGATCTCGATGACTTAAGGCAAGATTCTTCTTACCAAGAGACTTGGGACGACATGATAGTCAATGTAAGTGTGATCTCTGAAGCATTGCCTCCTCCATGTTCATTGTTGTAAAATGTTCCCGTCTCTATCTCAATGATACTATTTAATGCTGCATTTTTTGATTAATAATATGTTAGTTAATTCAAATATGATCTCTGAAACTTATCATTCTACATGTTACATTGGTGTAGAATTCTCCTGTCTTTATTGCAGTGGTATACTATGGTGCTGCATTTTTTTTTTGCATGTAGGCTTGTAACTTAATATATTGGTTTTCCTTTTTGACAATGTTACTTCTTTTTAACCTACCAGATACATCTACAAGGGTGATACATTTATATTATCGTTAAAATAACCTCTCATAAGTAATTTTCATTTTGTTTCTTCCCATATTAATTGTGCTGCATAATTTGCAAATTTAACTTGGACTGAAAACATTTCGTCCCTTCGCCAGTTTTTATCAGAATCTTTGGATGTTGTCCAAGACAATGAATGGATCCTTTCATTGGGCAATGCTTTTGCAAGACAATATGCTCTTTATGATGACGATGATGAGCATTTGGCACTGCTTCATAGGTATGGATTTAGAGGTGTCATTTCCAGTTCAGCTTTATGTAGTATAAATTGTCGATACTATCAAGTATCAACAGCCATTATGAATGGTGAATATAACATTTAGCTTATCTCTCTTGAGTATAATAATCTCATGGATCTATTGTTCTAGAAGCTATTTCACAGGTGCTTTTCATTTGTAATTTGATTTGAACACTTAAAAGTCTTACAAATACCTTCATTTTAAGGTTCACAACCTTTTGTAAATAGGGTTACAGATATCATATATACCTTCTCTAAAGGTACGAACTTTATGAATACCTTCACATAATTTTACAAAGAGAGGGCATATATGGAAGAAAGTCTAAAATTTTAAGGGCAGTAATATAAAAGAATTTTCAGGGCATGTTTATAAGCTTACATGATAGTATGTATATAATAGCCACATTTGTCTATCAGAACCTTTGGAAGTTATTACGACGCTTGGTGCCCTTCTCAAGTCAGAAACGTGCTCATTTCCAGAATTCAGTAGCACATATTACTTGTAACATAATGAAATATTAAGTTAGAGGTTCTTATGTGAACAATATTAAACTTCTAACTTTCAAGACACTTGCAATTTGATAAAGAAATCCCTGGGTACATCATTTTAGTCAAGTCATTGACCATTTAGTTAACATTATCTAGCTGGGGTACTTAATTAGATTCTTAGCTAGATCCGCCTCTTCTTTTTCTTTCTTTTTTGGGTAGGTCTTTTGGTGGTTGATGATTTCTATAGAGTTCTTTTGTATGTTTAATATGTATTAGTTTGTGGGAAGGTTTCAAATTCTAATCTGAGGCCCATTTTGGTCCTTGGCTGAACTGGTACAGGTCGTGCCAGCCAGCAACAGACCAGAGAGAAGAGGGGGGTTGTTGCATTGGGGCATGAGGAGAAGAACCTACTGTTGACAGAAGAAAGAAGAAATCAAGGATTGAAATTTTCTACCGTACTGATATTTCGAGACTTATTCGGTATGGTTCGGTACTGTATACCGAGTGATATATTTCGGTATACTGCTCGGTGTATATATATATATAATTATAATATATATATATATATATATATGTATATATATATATATATATAATTATAATATATATATATGTATATATATATAGGTAAACTGCTCGGTTTACCTCTATGCGAGGCGACGTCGCCTCTCTTCTCGGGCGACGTCGCAGATAAAAAAAAAAAATTTGCAGGCGACGTCACCCGATAAGAGAAGAAAAAAAAAAAAAAATCTTCGCCTCTCTCTGCCCCACGATGTCGATGCCTCTTCTCCTGCATGCGGATGAGAAGTCGCTGACAGACGAGGAGGAGAGCGACGATCTCCAGGTTCTCCCTGTTTTTCCTATTTCTTTCTTCCCCTTCTCCCTCTTCTTTCTTCTCCCTCGGTCACCGTCGACGATAATGCTCAATCGACGACGATAACGCCTCAATCGACGACAATAACGCCTCAATCGATGGTACCGCTCGGTAGCGGCAGTCCATGTGCCAGTCTGCTGACGGACCGGTATGTACTGCCCGGTACGGGCAGTTTCATTCGGTATTGCAGACCTTGGAAGAAACCATGGTTGACAGCTTCAACTGTCAACAGTTTGAAGAACCTGCCAGCTGGCATGGACCAAAGAGAGAGGCAGAGTACATAGGGTGGGGAGAGGAGGAGAAGAACCTGCTGTTGACCGCTGATAGCTGTTCAGCTGCCAGCAACTGTTTTGAGCTGTTGAGATTAAACAAAAAAAGATCAATAAATATTCCCAGTTTTGAACCGGACCAGTTAAAATCACCTGATTCGTGTGCTGGAACCAGATCGAACTGGTAATTACAGGTTAGCATGTACTGGCCCAACTGGGTTTTTGAACCTTGCAGGTAGCTCTGGTTGGGGAGTAGGAGAATAACCTGCTGTTGACAGAAGAGAGGAAACCATGGTTGACAGCTTCAACCTGCTGTCAACAGCTTGAAGAACCTGCTGGCTGGCATAGGCCAAAGAGAGAGGCAGAGTACAGAGGGTGGGGAGAGGAGAGGAGGAGAACCTGCTGTTGACTGCTGATAGCTGTTCAGCTGTCAGCAGCTCCTTTCATCTGTAGAGATTAAAATAATAATAAATATTCCCAGTTTCGTACCAGACTAGCCAAAACCACCTGATTCGCTTGCTGGAACCAGGTCGAACTGGTCAATACAGGTTAGCATGTCCTGGTCCAACTGGGTTTTTGAACCTTGGTCCATAGTGCTGTAATCTACATGTTTCTCACTATATTCTAATAACTAGGAAGCAACTGTTAGAATATAATGGTGAGTATGCTGCTCATCTGTATCCACTAGGCATTCCTAGGTTTCTGTTGGCATTGTAGCTGGTGGAAGCAGTGTTATTTGTCATTGCTTGGGTTTCTGGTGTCTTGAGTCTTTTTTTATTGTTTTAAAGATTGAGATAAAAACAGATGCATAAGTTTCTAATTCATGTTTTTTTACTGGAACTTTTAAGGTGATTATGTAGTATGATTGGCATATAATCTTTTTCTTGGCTGCTTGTACAAAAAGCAGTATAATTTATATTGTTAGTTACCATGTTTTAAATAAGATTTCTGCTGATTAGGTGTCTTGCTACAGATGAATTATCTAGATAGATTTTTTGTTTTGCAGGTCTAATTTATGTAATACAAGTTTAATAATTTCAGGGCAATAATAATGTTCTAGCTGTATATATTACTTCTATATTTTTGTGTTTTCTTTCATACCTTGTTCTGCAGATGCCTTGGAATGCTTCTTCAAAAAGTTGATGATAGAGTATATGTTAATGGAAAGATAGAATGGATGTATGCACATGCAAACATCTCAGTCCCTACAAATAGGCTTGGTCTTGCTAAAGGCATGGGGCTGGTATGTTGATAAGGCAGAATTGTATAATTTTCTTGATGTAAATTCCTTTTCTGAACTTTACAAGACTTTTGCCTCTCACAGATTGCTGCTTCACATCTAGATACTGTTCTGGAAAAATTGAAATGCATTTTAGACAATGTTGGATATAGCAGGTTTCAAAGGTACTTGTATGGTCTATCTAATGAAAATTTCTTATATTTAATTGTTTCTCTTTTTGTATATCCATGATGTTGTACCATGTCATCTGATTAGTCATACCAAATTGAGAACACATTACTTCAGAAGCTGATTCTCTTAGTTCAGAAATTAGAATAGACTGCGTCTAAATATGATCACTACTTATTTGGTCTGCATATATCTCCGCATTTTTTACTAGTTGATCAATTCAATTTCATTAAAAATTTCCTTGTCTGTGTATCTTGTATAATCTTATACAATTGCTTCTGTATGTGTGTATGTACATATATATATGTAAATGCATATATTTGCTTTGGTTTAAACCAAGTTGTTTCTTTTTGCCCAAAACAATACGTATAGGGCAATATTTGCCTATCTGGGCATGAATCGGTATATGGACGCCATCCATCTCGGGCTGTCGAGTTCGGCCATATAAAAAGAAAATTGTGTGCCTCCTCGTGGTCCAACCCTAATCGCAAGAGGAGCCTCGATACACGTAGTCTGCTGTCGCCTACATCATCGTCTGCCATCATCGCCAACCATGTATGCTTCTTTTCTCCCCCTCCCCTTCTTCATCCTTTTCCTCTTTCCTCTTCCTCCTTTTTCTTATCCTTCTTTTTGCTCCTCTTCTTCCATTGCTTGCTCTCCTTCCTCTTCCTCCTTCCTGTGCCTCTTTCTCCATCACCTTATCTTCTTCCTTCCTCTTCCCGCTACTTCATCTTCCTCCACTGCCTTTTCTTCTTCCTTCCTCTCCCTCCTCCTCCTTCCTCTTGCACTTTCCTCCTCTTCGTCCACCACCTCCTCTTCTTTCGACCTTTTCCTCCTCTTCTTCCACTGCCTCCTCTTCTTTTTTCCTCTTCCACCTCCTCGTTCCTCGTTCTCATTCTTCTTTCTCTTTCTTCCTCTTCCACCTCCTCCTTCCTCTTCTTCATTCTTTTTTCTCTTCTCCTATCACCTCCTCTTCTTCCTCTTCCTCCTTGTCCTCATCCTCCATCTCCTTCGCTTCTTCATCTTTCGACTTTTTCTTCCTCCTCTTCCTCCTCTTCCTCCACCACCATCCCTCCATTTCTCATCTCCTTCTTCCTCTTCAATTCTTTGAGATATAGTGCCAGTTTGTATGGACTACCAGTACAATACCCTGATACGAGATTGCAATTCAGAGAAACAAAGTTCTTATATCTAATGCCCAATTCTATTATTTTACTAGTTGATTAATTGTGCTAGAAAATTTTCTAGGAAAATATTTTCCTTCTATGTTTATCTTATCTCTATCTTGTACAGTTACTTCTATAGGTGTATATATATTTGTCTACCCGGAAATTGATCCTTAGATAAGGCACTAATCAACGTTAACATGCTATTATTAGGCTTAATTACCCCTAACTTAATCGTAAGAGTAAGGTAATGACCCTCATTGACCTTAAATTATAAAGAATGACACCAATCGCCATTAACTAGCTATAATTAGGAAAAATAGCTCTAATATCAAGAGAAATACACTAATCACCATTATCATGCTGTGATTAAACCTAATGATCCCAAATTGTCTCTAAAACTAAGGTAACAGCCCTAATTGGCCCTACATTATAAAGAATGACATTAGTCCCCGAATTGACCATACATGATAAAGAATGACACTAATCAACATTTAGTAGCTATAAGCCTATAATTAGGAAAAAGTATCTCTAATATTAAGAGAAATACACTAAGCCAATCAACTGTAATTACTCATAAAAATACACTAATATAGATATAAGCATGATAAAATCTTTGACCAAGTGACATGTTTGACCACTTGAATACCTCCAATTGAAGTTCCAATCACCGACTACGGTGCTTAATTGAGAAAGACTGCATGAGTGAGAAAGAGTGGGGGAAAGTTATGTGAGTGAAAGAAGAGAGTGAGCCGTTGATTCCATATGGTCGAGATCTGACTGCTACCGATCGAAACATGTCAGTAACGGTCATGTTTCAATTGTATTGCTCAAGATATGGGGTGTATTAAGCCGTACATTCCTGCTTGTAATATGCCGCTCGATTCGGGGTGGTCCACATGTCAGTCGTCGGGTGGTTCGGCACCTACCGCATGTACCATATTGTTTCAGGCGAAATTGCATTCCTTGCTTTGGAGAACTTATATATGGCTTCTTGGATAAAAAAGTGACACTAAATAATAGTGGAGACACACATGTAGATGTATGCCCGTTATGGAGATTTTCTAGATTATGTTGGAAATTAAAGTCTCTCACATGAAGATAATAATTGTTAATTCCCAAGTAAATCTACTTCAAACCTTTTTTTAACTATTTTTCTTGGTTTTATTTGTCAATCATTTAAGTGTTGAGTTTTTGAGTCTGGTGATATCAACATCTGATTTTGTTTTCTACCATTTACTCATCTGTCTAAACATTTGCTGTAGGTTTTTCTCCTTCCTTTCTGGTAGAGTTTTGGAGGATGCAGATGATACATATGCAGCTTTAGCATTAATGTATGGGTATGCTGCTAGATATGCTCCTTCGACAGTTATAGAGGCTAGAATAAATGCACTAGTGGTATGATCCTCAATCTGATATGTTATTTATTAATAAGTACCTTTTAATGTTGTTATATAATGATATTAAGAAAATGACCAAGCATCGGGGAAAAGATAACAATGGTGATCACTCACCCACTTCAAACTGTGATCGTCTTGTTACAAATAGTTTGAGCCAAAGATACAAAATGGGGACAACAAATGATGTATAAATTCAGTATGGAACATTACTAATCTGTAATTGATTTAAGAAAGGCTTAGAGCAATCAAAGAACTGAATAAAAAGACACTAAAGCACTAAACAAGAAATTTATTAACTTATTTGGAGATTTAGATTTTCTACCAGCCTTGTTTTAATTGGATGTTGTACAACTAAGAGAAAATATCTTACCTAAGAAGGTAGGCAAACTAAATCTTTAAGGCGTACCACAACCTAACAGAATGAACCAACCCTACCTTCCTGTACTACAAATCAATCTAATTGATGTATCCTGTATAAGCACATGTACCAGGTCTAAGAATGTTTGGTGTTCTTTGTTGAAAATATATTGTGCAGCAGTTCAATGCTAAAAATAATGAACACCATCAATGAAAGAGTTGATTCTATTATGTGTGACAAGGAAGCAATAAAAAATGTCGGACATCTAGATGAGAAATTGAGAATATCATCAATATTTATTACTCTGTTTTAAATTACCCAAACTGTTCTGAGTCAGGCTGTAAAAGAATCCACTATGTGTTGATTTCTTGGGTTCCGATGATTGGTAATCTTGGAAATGGTCATGATGTCTGCAATCATTATTTAATTCTCAGTTGGTCAATTGATCATATCTCATCTGTTACCTTCACTGAAGTTCTTGATGCTATCAAATGTCTCTAATTACACATGTTTTGTACCTGTATTTAATATTATTAAACATCCTTTGTGATTTCTATATCTCCTTGCCATTCCTTAGCGATATGTAGTTGTTACTTTATTGAGTTTCCATAATACTTTTACTGTATAGCATTGGGCCTTTGTAGGAGAGAGACAAACAAAATTTTGGTAATAGCACACTGAACCTGGTGAAACCAAGAAACAGCAATCAACTGGTACAGGCTGTGGAAGACCATGATTTTGGGAAGAAAATTATGTTTTTTAAGTTTTTTGCCAGATAAAACAGCCATTCTTATGCTCTGGAATATTTTTATCCCACTCTTTTCAATTCTTTCTATTCTTGTACTTTCAAATAAGATCATAAACAGTTACACATCTCTTCCCATAAGTTATTCTTTTATTTTGTTATGTACCGTCATTCATTCTCAGACTAGTACATATCATGTCTCCTAGAATCTTTTGACTGTAATTCCAGATTTGATGAATCAACATATTGAACTGAAATGGTCAATATGAATAATACACAAGAATTGGCCACATTGCCTCCCACTATGCATTGGGACCAATTTAATCAACTTCGTATATGTCCTATTCGGGTCTAAGCTGATCATGGGTCAGGTTTTATTAGATTGGACTGGATCTTTAAGTTTTTGGGCCAGTCCATGATTGTTTATCTTAATCAAGGATCAGTCGAGATTCAGGGTCATGAATCACAACCCCATTCCAGTATGAAACTTAGGTTGTGCAGTGGTGTGCTGTGTGCCAATGAAGACAAGTAGAAGAAAAGAAGAATAAACCTTACATGAGTTTCTTTTTCTTATTTTTCCCCAGTTTTCTATTGGTACAGGCGTACTGGTCGTCATGATGGTATTTGCCTATTCAATAGGCTGTCTTGGTCTCGCACTAATATGACAATCCTTGCTGGTGGTTCCTTCCTATTTAGTTCTGAGATCTTACAGTTTCCGTGAAGGAAAGATATGTTCAATGTTCCATAATAATTCCTAGAGTCATAGTTTAGTTTGGATTGAGTATTGAGAAATTGATAGATAAAGGGCGATGTAGCTCATTGCAAGAGGTCTTATACTTGATGATCATTGAGGTTTGAACCAGCAGTTGATTGTCTTTTCTCATCTCTTTACTTGTGATTTGGCAGAGTAGTGCAATCTTCTTGCTGTTCTCTCCATAACAAAAAATTTTGCTTGTGAACTTGTAGTTGCCTATCAACCAAACAGCAAAAGTTGTATCATTTTTTATCAACCCTTCATCTGATCAGATGTGGAATGTTGACACTTTATTTGGTCTGTCCATTTTGTGCCATGGTATTTGTGTACATGCTAAATCATGTAGTTCCATGGGTGCAAGTCTCAAGTTTTCACACCTAAATGCCAGGGGCATATAGCCAGCATGATACACATGATGATGCTTATCATGTCCCCGCTGATGCCTTAATATATCTAGTGTAAAACAAGGCCATTCAAGATTTGAAGAGTATTAATCCAATGCTGGTAATATGCATTTTGAAGCTGTATATTACAACAGCTTGCTGGAGAGGATCTTTTCCCCACTACTGGGCGAGGTGGAAGTTTAAAAACTAGAAACAGCTTAACATCTTCCAGCTATGCTAAAATTTAGTGGTGGTTCCTTTAGCAGTACATCAGATGAAATCCATAGTTGGGTTCTACTACAGCAAGCAGTTGTTACCCATTTTATGATACAAGATTATTAGCTGCAATATATCTACAAGGTCAATTGCTTTTGATTGTGTTTACAAAAATAATTCTACATTTCTCTCCTCATATTTCTGGTTTTAGCTCTAATTTCATGCTGAAAGTTCTATTATGTCGTATTTTGATTATTTTGGATGAATGTGTATATGTTCCTGTTTTCCTACAGGGCACAAATATGCTTTCACGTCTTCTTCATGTGCAACATCCTACTGCAAAGCAAGCTATTATAACTGCAATTGATCTATTAGGTGATCTTACACTTAACTTGCATTTGTTTTTTCACATCTTTCTTCTTGAGTTGATCTCAAGTTCTTTTCATCTCCAATTCTAGTCATATTCTAGTATGTCTAAATATAATTGTCGTCGATGTCCAATAAATTTAGCAAGTGTTGAAAACTTTATTGCTCGGTATTTTCTTATTGCCTAGTTAAGCTTGTGCATGATTTCAAATATTAGGCGGACCAATACATACCAACTGGTGCTTACCAGCCCGACCAAGGGATGGCTCCAAATTATATGGCTCATTACCAATTGGTATTCATTTTCTCAGTATTGATAAAAAGTGCTAAAGGTTGGTGTACCATCCAGGTACTCTATTGGTCCACAATGTTTTGACATCATTGTCAGACTGGTATTTAAAACTTAAGACCATGTGCTTGTGTTACTCAAATTCCAACTTTGATTTTGATATGGTGTCTGATGTACTTCCTGAGACATGTTTTCGAATTTTTATAACACGAAGATTGTGATGTGTTCTTCTCATATCAACTGGCTTGCAAGTATGCAGTTGAACTGGAATTTTTTGCACTTCTCTCTTGGAGACAATGTATACACCATTGTTCTTGTTAATTTCACACCTCATGCTACTCTTGGCACAGCATTTAAACAAATGCAGAGTCTTATTCATTGAAAACTGGACTATCCAAATCTGACATTCTAGAGGAAACAACTTGAAGGATTGATTTTAATGGAAGTCTGATATCTATGCCTGCTTTTTCTGTTAATGGAAGCCAAGAAGAAACAACTTGAAAGATTGATTTTTTTTTATTTAAAGATTGAATCCTTTTGAGTATATCTTATTGTGATTGTAATGATATTAAATTTAAAAAACAATTCGGCAGTATTTTGACCGTCTTCCTCTTTTTATCTTTACATTTGCTCTTTCTTCCCTGATCCTCGAAACAAGTAAATGGCAAGAATCTGCCCTAGATGTACATCATTTGGGAAAATTACATCCATAGGAAAAAGCCTTTGTGAAGAAGGCCATAATTTATGCAAGGGCTTCTTGGATTGTTATCTCAGTTCTAAGTTGGGAGAGCCTCACAAGCTGGTTGAGGGATCTTCAATCAGATTTTGAATTGGTGCTTTGTGGATGATCTTCCATTGGCCACGTTCTTCAGTTTAGTGGGTTCCTGGGAGAGCCTCTCAGTGCAATTGGACCTTTTAACATATTACTTCTATGCAAGAGAATTTCAATTGAGGGTTCCTGGGAATATGGGACATGTTCAACATTAAATTTCCATTGGAGGAAGATGAGTCCAATGCTTTTCTAAGCCTATTTTCTTTGCTAAAGTTATGGACTCATTAAATAGAAATGGTAGGCTTCTGGTGATTAGACCTTTGCTTTCTTTTAGAAATTCAGAACTTTGTTGATTTGTGCTATCTCATGAAAGTGTGCACTGTTTAATAAAACCAAATTGTTTGTGGCCTACAGTGAGAGGAAAGAATCAGTTAGGCCAAAGGTTGGTCAAGAAAGGCTAGATGGATGTAGCATGTGGGGGGGTGTGGCTGGAAAGGTGAAACATAAGATCATATTCTTCTCGTCTGCAGCCCATTCAGCATGGTTTGGAATAAGAATTTGTTGGGTCCTACAACCCAGCTTCCTCCATTGAGGCTGTCAAACATTTGGGTAAACTGGTGGGAGAGGTGTTAAGGAAAATTAGAGAGTTGTATGTACTTAGCTTCACCTGGTGGGAGCTTTTGAAGTAATTTTTTAAGGGATCACAGTTGAGGCTGACCAGATAGTTGACAAGTCCATCGGAAGTCTGATGCATTGCACACAACATGTTAGCCAATTTAAACCATGGTATCGTTGGCTTATCATTTGTATCTCATCCAATTTGCATGTTGTACATAGGCAGATTTTTCAACATGGATGAATTGGCCAGTTGATGCTGTTTGTACCACAATGCATATATTCACTCGATTCTTAGATCATTCATGTGCAAAATTTTCTTGATTGCTAGTCCTTTATGTTGCCATCTTTTCTGTCACTTGTTTATTCTTCCTTTTGCTTCTTTTTGTTGCTTTACAGATAATTTTTTCATTTTGAACCTTTGGAATAGAGGTTTTCAGCTCCATGTTCAAGTTTGGGACATTTTTTTTTTGTTGCTTGGTGTTACTGAGAGAATTATTGCTCCATTACAACATCTTACGTGCATTTATTGCTCCAATCTATACTTCATTTGTTCTATACAGGTCGTGCAGTTATCAATGCTGCTGAAATGGGCATTTCATTCCCACTGAAACGCAGAGATCAAATGCTCGATTATGTGCTGACGTTGATGGGAAGAGATGATAGAGAGGAGTTAATTGATTCGAGCACTGAGCTTCTCCATACTCAGGTTTTGCCTTTTCTTATAGATATTTCTTGCTCAATTTGTTGGTGATCTGGCATTTGATGTAAGCCTTGTGTGGGAGATTCACTTTCAGACTCTTGCTCTGAGTGCATGTAAGACATTGGTTCTGGTAGAGCCGAGATTACCGGTTGAAGCAAGAAACCATGTAATGAAGGTAGTTTGATTGAGTAGCCTTACCTAAGATTTTTTAGCTTCCCCTGCATCTGGGTTTTTATATTATTTTCTAATATATGTTAACATCCTGCAGGCTACTTTAGGTTTCTTTGCTTTACCCAGTGATCCTTCAGATATCATCGACCCACTTGTTGACAATCTTATTTCTTTATTGTGTGCTATTCTTTTAACCAGGTATTGACTGTATCACTTGAACATGCTGATAGCTTCTGTGTATAATAATTCAATGTGTTTCTCCTTTGAGTGTGTGATTTCTTTTATCTTCTTTTGTTACCTCTGGCATGCTATTCAAATATCGTGTATTAGTATGTGTTATACAAATGCACATGTATGAATATGTATATTATTTTTTACACACACATGCATATACATCATTTAATATCTTTTGGGTGACTGAATCGGTACCATACATTTTTGGCTTCACAGAGAACTGTTTCTTTGTGGTTTACAAAATTTAAGACTTCGAATTCTCTTCTTTCCAAATATTTTGAATAAGCTTAACCTTAAGATTAACCATCTTGCTGCCATCATCTAGCATTATATATACTGTCGGTATGGTTCGACATGTCATCGCGCCAACATAGGCATGCTGTTGAGAGGAGAAAAACAGGATGAAAGATAGAAACAGAGGAAGAACTGATGTAAAAAAGGAAAATATATGTAACATACAAAGAGGTCTTGTTATGTTGCATGTGATGATGGTCCTTTGTTGCTAGTTGTGGAGAGCTTTCAGTTGCAGACTTGTGGCACATCTTGTTCTACTCCCTATGGAAAGTTGACCTAATTGTGGAACTGACCTTTGCATAAAATAATCAATTGGCTTACTCAGTGTACAAGTCCACCGTGTTCTGAGTCCACCGAGAAATCCTCCTGTACCCATTAGAAGACAAAAGTTTGCCTATCAGACCTTAATTCATGACTGTTCTCAAGATGGGCTAGTCATAAAATTGTGAGAGTTCCTTCAACGGGATAACATGTTCGGTAATTTCTATATTCTTTGAGCATACCAGTAACAGAAAAAGCCCATGCTGGCATGGTTCTATGACCTGATAAGAAGAGATACCCATGCTAGACCAGGAATGTGTAACATGTTTCCTCTTTATAATTCATTGGAAGACAGAATGAAATCATTTATGAGTTGTCTTATACGCTAGAGATATCAGGAGGGGAGAGGCTTGAGGAGACCAAATCGAAGGCCTGTAATGTAGCTTGTTCCTTTTCTCTTCTCTTTTTTACCATCCCTTCTTTCTTTCTTCTTTTTGTATTTCATCAGCACTTTTATGGCAAAAATATGATTTGTCATGTCATGCTCGTGGAACATTTCATGCCTATCACTAGATATAGCTGGCATGTAATGTCATGTGACCTTGTACTAGATTTTTTTCTACTTTTGTTCTTTTTCTTATAAGTTTGAGATGAAATTTAATGAGAAACACCCATCACTTGATTATAGTCATCTATTCCATTTAGATGCAAGTTTGAGTAGAACCAGAAGTTTGTTTAGACTTAGTGTCAAGTATTTCTACATATAGAATAAAATCCAGTAATAGTGTAAGTTGTTTTCATTTTTGAGTTTATGTATGCTAAAGTTTCATTGCTTTCAAAAGTTGTTTTAACCAGTGATTGCAAAAGGCGCTCGGGCGCTCGCCTAGGCGCTCGGGCGAGGCGAGGCGAGGCCCGAGCA